GGGCATAAGAGAGCTCAATGGTGGAAATTTCAACACAGGGGAGATGCCACAGCAGGAAATGCTGCTACCCAGAAAGGTTGTTGGAACTGTGGAAAGCACGGACATTTGAGGAGCCAGTGTAGAAAGAATATTACCAACAAGTCGGCCTCAAGGAAACCAGTAGTGGTTGGTATTGAGCGACGCCCACCAACCCCCATCATGAAAGTCCCAACAGCTAGGTGTAAAATGCCAAGCACACATAGTATCTACGTGACAGGAAAGCTGGATGGCCAAAGGTGCAACTTTGTCATAGATTCTGCATCTCAGCAAACCCTTGTGAGCATCAAGGTGTTAGATCACGAAGGAGTACCAGAAGCTGTACAGATTTACAAATATTTTTTTTTAAAATTGTACTACAGTTTTATACACTTAACTACAAGTTTTAGACGAACAAGATCTGCCCAACCTTTAATTATGCTAATCTTGTAATTAGAATAAGTCTTACATATTCGAATGATTAGCCCAGGACTTGCCTATCTTCACTTGCTGCACCTGGAACTGATCTGGACTCAGTAGAATATCTCATATCTTAATGTGTGTAGTAAAGAAGTCAAAAACTCTAACTTCCTTTTTCTATTAAACTCGGAATCGTCTTGGTGTTCACTGTGTAACTGTTATATCATCAAGCAAGCAAAGAAGCTTGCTTGGAATGAAGAGAAGTGTTTACATGCCCATAAATCTTTCATGTGCTAAATTTCATTGTCTATTTATTCAATGAAAATGTTTGATTCATTGAATATTTTTGTCCCTTCTTATTCATTTTTGGTCGAATTTGTCTTATTGATGCCATTTCTTGTCTGAAACACTGTTAAATATATGACAAAATTTTAGTTGAAATGTATTTATCAAAAGTTCTAAAAACTATTTTTTGTAACTATTAAGCTACATCCAGCCTGAATGTCATCAATAGGTTATTAAATGCTAAAACTATTTTTAGTAATCATTAAGCTACGTCCAACCTGCGGGTCACCAGTGGGTTATGAAATACTAAAAACTATTTTTAGGAACTTTTAAGCTACATCCAGCCTGTGTGTCACCAAAAGGGTCATAAAGTGCTAAAATGTATTTTTAGTAACTGTTAAGCTGCCGTGGGTTATAAAGACTTGTCAAATGTCAAGTGGCAGCAAAAAATAAATTGAAAAATACAAACACTATAGGAGTAATTTCATCTGTAATGGGTTTATTTTTAAGAAATGAATTTGTCTGTTGCCGCTTCCTTATTTTTTTTTTTCTTTTCACGCCTATCAAATCTTATGTAAGCCCACTTCTACAGATTAAGCTCGTTTTCCTAATTTGCATAATTTTTTATTGTGAGAACTGTCTTGAAATAACTTCAATCTCCAATATATCGTTTATCATTATGAGAGGTTATAAATAGTATAAGATTTTGTTAAAAGATGACGTTGGCTATTTTATCATAAAAAAGATGCGTGAAGTGTTGAGATCTGTCTTCTTGTATATTTTAAAGTGTTTAAACGTTTTATTTTGTGTTTAAAATTCACAACTTGCAAAAGGTAAACATTGAATAAATCTGCAAGAATCTCATTCACACCTTATGTATCAGTCGATAAAACTGCAACTTGTTCAGTTTAGCTAATTGCATGGTAACACATTGAAAATTGGATTATTTAATCAATCTGAAACCTAATAATATCCTGCCTCATTGCTTACTTAGTGGTTTGTAAGGTTTGGAAAATAATTAAAGTATTATACTGTTAGCGAGACATTATTCGGTCGTAGGAAAGGAATGCAGGCATATGCAATGTGAAGAATGTACCTAAGAAGAGACAATGCACATCAATAAAAAGATATTTTCAAATAAAGAATAAAATTATTGTTAAATATGGTGTTATTTGTACCAAATGACATCAACTGTACCATGGTTCTAACTGCCACATGCCGAACGATCCCTTTAGAGATGACAGTGAAACTGACAAAAGTGGTTCAGGCTACGCTACATCTCCACATTTTACTCCTGGTGCATCCTTGAGTAAACTATTTAGTATAGCCTTTAAAACTGAGCAGTAGATCAATGTACAACTCTCACATTAAATGTTATATGCTCAAAGTTTATGCATTTGACTGTTGTATCATTTAAAGCACAAACTCAAGAATTTATTATGTATGGTACTGCATCTATGCTGTAGCGCGGTGCGGCTAAAGTGATCTGGAAAGAAAGTAAATTGTATCCGACTCATACGAGGTAATAGATACCAAGATGAAAGACCATTTAAAGTATAAGATAACGGATGCAACTGATAGTTTGGAAGACAGCATCAAATAAATTAGATGGAATAAACTTTGATAGGTCTTACAAACTAACTGAAGGTGAATAATTTAATCTAACTGAACTAGTTATGTCTCAGTTTGATTACCCGCTTTTCAAGACTGCATTTTTGAGAAATATCCAGGAAAGATCTGTGCGAGTTTGTTTGGAAGTTCTCCTGTTGAGACTCTGTACTGAGTTATCCAACACAATTCTGTCTACAACTATGGCTTTGGAAAATACCTTTGCTTTAAAGAGAGCAATACACTTGGATGGCTATACTTTGATAAACTAACTATTTTGTTTCTCTGTACCTTGGATTTGGATATATCAACCACCGAAAATTGACATTTAACCATGGCTATCCTTTTGTATGAAATATTTTGGTACAAGAGAAGAACGCTGCTGGCATCCTATTTTATGTTGTCGTGTATGTGTATGTACAAAAAAGTACCAAATGTGAATTCTAGAGGCAAAGTTATCAAAGTATGCATACGATGCGACCACTTGTGTAACTAAAAAAGGTTCTGACTACAGATGTGTACTTTATGTTGGCCTTGGTCCATATCTTAATAATGACCAAAAGAATGGTGCAGCAGTTACTCATCACATATTCTGTATGACTTTGAAAAAAAATAGCGCTCGGGTATAGTGATATGACGTGGCTATTGTGGATAGATGGTTTAAGGGCACATAAATATCGTTCTCGTGAACTGGGCGTCGTGCTTTCTGCATATGGGGTGTAACCAACATTCTACAGAGAAATCCAATTTTTCAAGGTTCGTAACTAAACTTTATTGGGTGTTAGAAGTAATGAATTTCGCACAAAACAGTAGAAATTGTGTTTAACAACCTGTGGACTCATGTTGTAGGGGACTCAGTAGAAACTGACAGTGCTCTTTGCAACTAATATCATCATACAAAACACAAAAACTAATTCTGCTGTCGTATAACGCATGTTTCAGCTGGTGAAATAGCCCAACACACTCAAATATGTTGTACAGTCCGAAGATTTTACATGAAGAAGGTTGGTATAGAAAAACACCGTATAATGTGATGTAGCTTTGGGTTTTCTGCGATCTTTTACAGTCGGTGTACACTAGTTGAAGGAGGCGATATCATACACGGAATAACTATATCTGAGGATGGGCTCTATTAGTCCAGTAGCTTAAAAAGCGGCCTACTCCGTGCCAAAATTCAGTTTCAACATGTTTTAAGTGAGATGTACTCTCTCTTAATTCAGCATGACATTCAATATATCCCACTTATACTAGGATAAGAGTAGTGGGATGCTGTGCACATATGGAGTCGTCTTTGATATGGTCCCTGAATTCAAACGGCACAAAGAACACAGGTCCACAAGACCAGTTTCTAGATCTGGAGGTGTTTAAAATGCAGCTGAACATTCAGTTTACGAAGTATATGAAATTTTACATTTTTATGGGGGAGCCAAATATAAGATTAAAAACGATTTTCTTGTCATTTTTGTGGTTTTCGTAGAATGGATAAAATTCACATCTCACAGATTCCTATCCTTTTATTGAATAAATAATGACTATATAATTCAAGAGTGAAAAGAAAAAATGCTGAAGATAAAAAAAAATCTCATTAGGACCATTCCTTAACCCCTTATGAGTAATTAGTTATAAACCAAAATGAAAATTAATTAAAGTATACATCTAAAATTCATAATTTTTGGCTTGTTGTATTTCTATCTACCTTCACTCTTCCTCATAAACACCGGAAAAATATAATTCTGATCAGCAGAAAACAGTGCTAAGTAGAAGTGTTTTAAATTGTGGAGATGGTCGTCGCTTTCACATTACTGGTTTTATTTATTTTAACAGAATATGTAAAATAATACAGTGTAAAAACTTATTTATAAACAGTATGTGTAAATGTATTTAGAATGCATGGCATTTTTGTAGGTAGACGAAACACTTAGTATCTGCTATTTCACATTTTTTTTTCTGGAAAAGATTGTACACTTATTTCACTTTATTTTCGTCTTGGCAAAACAATCCTTAGTATTCTTCATAATCAGAACCGAAATAATGTGAAAAACAGCAGAACATTGGAGTTATTTCAGAACAAAATTCATAATATATATTATCAGCATTCATATTTCTTTGTAAAATGAATGAAATATTAACATTTCATTTATGTTATGAACATAGAATATTTAGGTTAGTTCTAATTGTCAGTGTTATTTTTAAATGAAAATAAATAAAGCATGTATAATGCTAACAACGATGCAGCGAACAAATATGAAAATAGTTGAGTTGAACAAGGTGATATATATAGTCTTTAATTTTATTAAAACATAACGAGTTAATTAAATAGAGATGTAGTACCATATGAAACCACATGGCGGCGATAGTAATCAGCTGTTAAAGACAGGTTTGTGTTGTTATTGTTCAACCGTGAGTTCAGGGACGTTTAACAATGTAGTGGAAGTAATTATGAATAGTATCAGCTAACTAGTGTTCACATATGGAATGTTTAAAACACTGGGCTTGTTCTGATCTATTGAATTATGTAAAATTCTGGGAGAAGAGATTTCGTACAAATATTTACTTTTCGAATTTGGAAGTGGAACTTTGGAAGCCAAAGCGAAAGAAAGGGTAGACTAACACTCAAGGATATTATTATTCTTATTAATTTAGTAATTGTACAACACTGCCATAAAATTAACAGTGTTGATATTGTACAACTAACTTAATGATGCACTAAAATATAATAAAAATACAGACTTAGCACATATTCCAACAAACTAAATTGAGAATTTTTGAATCATAATATTATATTTTTTAATATCTACTAATAGTAATAGTACTAATGTAGTATTGTAACCTGTAAGCAGCACTTAGATTTCAAGCCTAACGAGTCTTACTAAAAGTTGATTGTTTATTTATTTGGTAGTTATGATATATATGATAAATTAACATTTTTTTACTCTTTCTGCTAAAAATAAAATGGGAGGTGTCATTAAAGCTAAAAGTAACAGTCCTATACCTATTACTATTAGAACTAAGACATTGAATACATAGTATTTTTAGCATACCAATAAGATTAGCTACTGCATAGCATAGTAGTTATTCCAGAGCAGTATGCTTAGTTTCTTAAATATATATATCGATACTGTAATTAATTCTGTAAGTTGTAATGTGCCTGTTAAGATTTAGTTTAAGAAAATTAACATAATTAATTGTGTGAAATTTTAAGTTTAAAAGGAAAGGAGTCTCACCATAAAGATATTTAAAACAGCAAACAGGAGTTTTGAAAAATGGGTAACTGTTTAAAATCATTTGGATCAGATGATATCTCTCTATTGCGAGAAAACAATAGCACTAGTACAAGAGAATCATCCACTGATCATGTTGAACTTCCACCATCATACCAGGTGAGTATTATATTATTTCTTTGTACAGATAAGTATATTAATTGTTGTTTGTTAGGTGACATAAGAATATATAAAAATAAATGTAATTATCATTATATATGTATTTTATATAGGGTTATGCATATTAGTTATCACAGTGTTATTTTTATACTTTACAGGCCAGCTGGGGAAATTCTAGGTAAAGTTAATGAGGAATAAGACCTGGGTTTGGCTACCATGAAATCTGTAAAGCTTTCTAGACAATTTTGGTTATAAAGTAATAATGCAATACTTAGTACATGCCTTAAAATCCCATTTGCATTATAATTTACAAATATACATTGTCTGGAAAGCTTTAAAGATTTTATGGTAGCTAAGTTTAGATATTTTTTTCTCATCAAACTTATCTAGAATTTCTTCAACTAGGCTGTAAAGTATAAGAATTATAAATATTGTGATAACCAATATGCATAATATTTCACTCATTGGACTTGTATTAATCTTGTAGCATTGTCCTTAAACAACAACTATGTTTATGTTTCGATATATCTTAATTATAAAGATAATAGTTTATTCTAAAGATAATAGTTTATTCTAAAGATAATAGTTTATCCTAAAGATAATAGTTTATTCTAAAGATAATAATTTATTCTAAAGATAATAGTTTATTCTAAAGATAATAATTTATCCTAAAGATAATAATTTATCCTAAAGATAATAATTTATTCTAAACAAGTCAAAATTTAACAAAATGAAGTAATACCTGCTGCTTCATGTTCTTTAACCTTGTTGTTTTCAATTTTCATTTAACCACCAACATCAAGTTTTGAATATTTATTTAATTATATCCATACTTTTGCTTAATGTTTAAAGCTAATAATATCTATAATAATCAACAAATGTTGTAGGAAAGCATATCAGTTCCAGTGTATTATCCTTCTCCTAATGTGAGTCGCCCAGCATCTCAACTAACAGAAGAAGAACAAATTAAGATAGCTCAACGTATTGGGCTCATTCAACATCTACCAACTGGATTCTATGATGGTAGCAAGAAAACCAGAGAGTGAGTTGCAGTAGATTTTTGTTATGTAATACACGTATTTGTAAGTAACGAATCTTCTTATTTTGCATAAATATACTAATGTGACAGATGGATCATTTGACTCTTTTTTTTTTTGATTTGCTGTCATTCAGTTTGTTTCCATATAATTTTTAGTTAAATCTGAGCAGTCATATAATTTTGCAGTTATTTGTTAAATAAAATAAGTTTCCTGAATGATATCTGACTGAAGTAATTTAGACTACAAGGAGAACTTAAACACTGAATACCAATGCAATGATCTAATTCTGTACCATGATTGTGACAGTCTCATTCTTGAAGTGTAACATGGTGACTAGGTTATCTACAATATCCTCGACTAGATCAATAAAAACACATGAAGTAATCCTGGCAACTGTTTATTAACACATAAATATGAGTTACCAAAAAATAATTTATAAACACTGGACAAGTGACATTCACATGCTGAGTAGTAAATCCAATCAAGCAATAGTAGATTGCCACCTATATGGTATTGTCTGTAAAAACAATAATACTTGTACATCCAATATTGTGACTGTTGAGTTACATCATACGCTATACTTTAAGCTAAGTAGGAAACTTGCAAGTTATTATTTAGATGTGTGTGTATTGTAATAAGTGTGAAATGACATGATATGTCATGTAATGATTATATGCTAACAGATACCTGCATTTGAAGGAAGAATTAATGCTAATTTAATTCCACAGTGTGTGTATACATGTGAAACACTGCATTTAATCAGTGGAAAGATGTCAAGAGATTTCACTCTACTTCCATATGAAAGTTTATACAAACCTGGAATCATCTGGGTAGCTCTTTTCTGAATCATTTCTAATAATTCAACAACCTTTCTTAAGTATGTTGATCAAAACTGAACACAATATTCCAAATGAAGTATAATGTTCTTGAATGACCCAATGACCTTCTCCAACCTGTACTCATTACTTATATACAAACAACTTTTCATTGTTGCTTGCTAGAAAGGTTTGGAGATTTTGCTAGCTAAGCCCAAATCTTTTTCCTCATCAACTTCACCTAGAATTTCTACAGCTAGGCTTTAAAGCAACATAATAAGTAATATTGTGATAACCAATATGCATAACCTCTTTTTATTAAGATTAAAAGACATCTGTCAGGTATTAGTCCAACTCACCAAATACTCCAAGTCTCTTTGAAAAATTACATTCAAACTAGTAATCACCCTAGTATCCTCCATGAAAGAATTAAGTTGAACATATAACTGAATATAATTTAGTGTCATACAAAACAAGAATGAGCCCTTAAGTCTGAAATGAAAGTAAATATTTAGTTCCTAGCTCTCTATTTGTGCTTGTAATGGATAAGTATATTAAAAATCTGTCTGATTATGGCTTAAATACCCACTATCTGCTCACATTCAAGTTCTGAGATCAATGCTGTACTATTTAAGTCATCATGGGATTGAATTCTACATAGATGTTCCTGATCTCATTGAACAGTTAAACAAGGAGGTCTCATCTTTAACAACAGGCTTATATCTAGATATATCATGTTTTAATGAATACCCTGAAGTTTTCCTTTCAGTAATTTTACATACTTGACACATTAACTTATGGCATGAATTCCTCAGGGTGTTGACAGATCTTTGTTTTTTTTGTTAATATTAACAATGCTGAATATTGTACATCTGACATATTTTATTGGAATACAGTATGAAACTAAATTTTAGTTAAATTTAAATTTCTTTCAGCATCACTTTTCTAAAGTTCATATTTATAGAATATTTTTGATTGTTATCATTATAAATATGGGAAATATTCATATGAGACTATACATTAGCAACAAAAAATGTTTTAGATTTAACTCTTTTAGGCTTATTTTGAGGTTACAAAAAGTAAAAGGGTTTTTTAGAACTTGCAAGTATATAAATTTGTTTCTGATCAGTGATTTCCATGGTTTGCTGTCATTAAATTCTGGCTTTGTAATGGTAAATTCACATTCTAGAGCTTATTGATTTATAAAGAAATTTTGTTTTGAAATATTTTTTCCAAGTCAAGTTTTTCATTTCTACAAGACTTCGTAAAATATAACCTATTTCCTGTTAAAAAACATCTGTATGTTCCTGTGGTGATTCTGCCTTAATGTATTTTGAGGTACATTTTGTTGATGTTATAAAATGAAGTCACTCTCACTGAAGTGGATGTTATAACTTGGAGAGATGACTGCAAAACTGAAACATGCATTGTTTATTTGAGATAGTATGAGAAATGTCTTGAAATCCTCCCTTGCACCCTTTGTTGAGATCCATTCCATAGGTAAGCATCAGGTGCTGGAGAATGGGAATCATTGCAAATTTCTGAAAGTACTGAATCACTTAAGTAGGCTTGCCCCAGTGGCTTTAAATGGATCTTTGTTAGAAGTCCAGTTCCAACTGTTAAGTTTCCATAGCTGACATGTTGTGTTTGGTGCCTCTTAGGTTCAGTTTCAATGGAAAGCTTTCTAGTATCATTTCAAACAGTAAGTATCCATTTCATTATGATCTTGAGGTTAGTGTTCTTAAGTTATTGCTGTTAAAATATATTAAATTTAGCAGGAGAAAGCAGATGCTTTCTCTAACAAAGAACTGTTTTATTTAAAAGATTATGGATTTAAATGTTGTGTTTCCATACTATTGGTTGCAAACAAGAACACAGTTTGTGTGTGTTCACAGTATCAAGATAATGTGTAGAGGTAGACTATGTGAATCAAAGAACCCTGATAATTTGTCTAACAGTGACAAAGTATGAAACTATACATCAAATGTAAATAATGATAAAAATATTGTATGTACAAAAATGTAAGGCTTTGTTTTGTTACAGTTTTTAATAATTACAAATAAAATTACTCAGTTCTTTAAATTTTTGACAATAGATGTATTTATGAACAGAGTTCTTTAACCTTTTTTTTATTTTTCATATTCACACCACATCCAAAAAAGATTAATTCAGTAATTGAAATTAAATATCTTGATTGAGAATGGTTATTCAAAAATACTTTTTTTAATGAGATACAGCTTTTTATGAGAATAGTAACAGAAATAATGATAATTATTTTGACATACTCTTTTGTTCAATTAAACTGTGCAGAGTATTCAGTACTCTTTAACCCTTTCCTGACGGGTCATGGGTCAAAGGCCATGTCATCGTGTTTGTTGACTCGCATTCAAAATTTTATTGAACTACTATTTACTATATTAATAAGTTTGATATCAAACTGTAGATTAAAATTAAATATTAAAGAAACACAATTAAACATTGATTTTTGTGTGTCACACGGTATGTTGAATGCAGCACTGGTTCAAATTAGATGTTTGTGATGTCAAGATACTAAGTCTGTAGTTTTGTACGAATTAGGAACTCAATTTACCAATATTGACAAGCTAGAATATAAAATAAGAACTTCTTATCTTTTCTATTTGCTAAGATATTGTTCATGTAATAAATCAAACACAATGGCACCTCAACCACCTCTTTCCATTTTTGGAAACGCTCCCTTATATACACTTACTTCTATATATATCACATGAATAACCAGTTGAAACCTCAAAATGTCCCCCTAGTGGCTTTCTTAGCCATTTTAAATTCCTAGGACTCCATCTCTTTCTTTTGAACCAAGATTTCAAGGAGATAGGTTATGTGTATAGTCTTCTCAAAATTTCATATCTTTTTATACCCAAATACACCTTAGTTACTAAGCTTGATAAATTATGGTGAAAGTCTATGGTATTGATATAGTCATTCATTTATGATTTTTTGGTAAAAAAAATTATTTTTGTTTCATATCCTCCACATGCAAAATTTTAAAAGTTTAGCATCCTACATCAAGCAGCAACCATGTACAAACTAGAAGAGATAATTGTTTGCTTTACTTCTTTATTTACTGTTGTATATTTTAAAAAAATAAGTTTAAGAACTTATTTCTAAATAGTATATAAATCTATATTCGTATATAATATATAATAATTGAAATGTGACTGTATTTTACAAAATACTAGTCTACTAAAAC